AATTTTTAGGTTATTTTATTTAGAATTAGAGTTTTATTATTTAATTATAATTTATTATAATTTTAAAATATAATTGTAGGTGGTAAAAAATCACCTGAAATGACAAGAACTTCAAATATTAACAGAGAAAACATACAGTTTGTGAGCAAACGAGAAGTTGCTGTTTATATGTTGCAAAAGAAAATTGAAGAGACCCAGGATATCACTACGAAATTACGGTAAAATTGAAAATAAAATTTAATCATTAATAAATAATATTTGATAAACTATTTTATTTTACAGGCATGTCAAGGAGTTGGAGGCTTTACTGAATGGACGTCTATATATGGATAACGTGTTGTATGAATACGTGAATAGTATTCAACACTTAATGTCAAACATCGCAACCAATGCTATACTCCATACGAAACAAGAGCTCAATAATAGATCCTGTTATCGACAACTGGTCGACAGTTTCATTGAAAATTGTTTTGCTCTTAACAAAGTATTTTATAAATTTTTTTAAACTATTTTAACATTTAAATTAATTGTATACTAATTTCCTACAGAATCCATACGTGTTGTCAAAACTGCATATATTTGTGAATATTTGCGAACAAATGCGTGACTCGAGTGATGCGGACATTGCTGTCAACCGATTGATACAATATTGTCATCAAAATATTGACCGAAATATTGTCACAAATATTCAATAATATGTCTTAAAAATATTTTATCACTTTTAACAATAAAATATTCTCCTTGAAATATGTGTGTTTATAACAATTCACGTAGCACAATTAATTTAGATACTAATTTGTACATGTTACGTATAACTACAATGACCATATATAGCCATAAATATACCGGAAAATTAATCATTACAGGATCTTAATATTTATATAAAAACAAATATTTTTATATCTATCACTTTTATTTTCCCATAAACCTTTAAACTAACTAAACCAACTTAATATGAAACTACCGGTGCTATTACTAATAACCTGTCTATCATTTGCTACGGTTTATAGTCGTAGGTTAGTAATAGGTGGTCGCGATGCCCGGCCAGGTGAGGCACCATGGCAAGTTTCATATAGGATCGTTGGTAAATCAGGCGATTCCCATATGTGTGGTGGTTCCCTGATCAACGCCAATTGGGTGATCACCGCGGCACATTGCTGTGAAATGTAAGCTATATTTTTAATATTAAATATGATTAAAGTATCATCATTAAATTAAAATTATTATAAAATCAAATGATTATTTTAAAAATTTTTATTAATATTGCTAGTATAAAATTAGTAATCATTTGTATAATGTACAGTTTATTTTAAGCAGTCTATTATTTTTATTAACACTTCTCATAATGTAACTAGCTCAGCTAGCTAGCTAATTAAATTTATTTATTTGGCGTATAATAGTCCGCTTAAACACCACATACCTGAAACCATAAAATGGGGAAGTTTGAAAGTGAACAGGCTACCTTTCAAGTCAAAAGTGGCCAAACGTATCATACATCACAAATACAACTTAAATGCCACACAGAATGACCCTGTTTCGCATGACTACTGCCTAATAAAACTGGCCACACCCGCTGTGCAAAGTGCCACGGTCAAATTTGTTAAACTAGCAAAGGGTTACCCCAAAACAGACAAAATGGTGCTGGTTACAGGGTGGGGCAATACAATGGTGGACGGGGTTAAAAATCCAATTGATTTACAAGCTGCTGAATTGCATGTAATGGACCGGAAAAGTTGTCAGGGTC